TGATGCCTTTAAATTATGATGATGGCGAAAAATATTGAATATACCATGGACTGCTAGGTGAACAAACAAATCTGTCTTGGAAGAAGTACAGCTGAATTCTCCCTGGAAGCAAGGGTAGCGAGACTTCATCTCATGTACTTTGGGCATGTTATCAGGAGGGAGCAGTCCCTGGAGAAGGACATCATGCTTGGTAGAGACTCAGTGAAAAAGAGGAAGACCTTCTACAAGAGGGACTGACACAGTGGCTAGAACAATGGGCTCAAATATAGCCAACGATTGTGAGGATGGCACAGGCTCAAGCAGTGTTTCGTTCTGTTGTACATAGGGTTGCTATGAGTCGTAACCAACTGGACAGCACCTAACAACAACATATTAAATTATAATCTACGTAATTTGTTCACAATTACATAGTATTTAAACTAAGTAGTAGCTAAAACCACAGGTTTAAGAAAAATTTAATGGAAGAGAGTCTTAAAATTGAGAATGTTATATTCAATGACTGTCTTTTTTTACTCCCATTAGAAACCAAAAACCTGTTGCCGCGGAGTTGATTCCGACTCATAGCAACCCTATAGGACAGAGTAGAACTGCCCCACAGGGTTTCTGAGGACCAGGTGGTGGATTCGAACTACCAACCTTTTGCTTAGCTGCTGAGCTCTTAACTACTGCACCACCAGGGCTCCTCCACTGGAAAAGGACTGCTATTTTATTTTACTTCAGTGGTAAAACAATTTCTGTAACTTTGCCGAATATTTTTTTTTCTTGTATCATGGTTTGAGAATTGTTTTGCCTAAGAAAAGTGAATACTAAAAGGAGATCAAAATTGCATTGACAATCATGAGTTAGAAAATGTATATGAGCTAATTTTTTTCTTTATTCAATCTATAAAAATTTTTCTGTTCCCTTTTTTTTTTTTTCCCTTAATTCTTAACACATCCATATAGGTTTATATGAAAACTGCCTGATCAGTTTATTTAAACAGCTCTAAGAGGTATTAGCTTATTTTTCAGTCCTATAGATTACTTACTAAATCTATTTGCATATCTTTTAAATGATGGTCAGGTTTAAATACAGGGTTTACAGTTATCTACATGGTAAAACATGGGAAGCTCTAATGTAAAATGTTTTCCTTGATAATTATAAATATGGTTGTTTTTAATGTCTTAGAATCCTAACCATTACCATGTCTCTGCTTTGTTCTTTCTAAGTAGCAGACTTTTTTGATGCACCGGTGCAGCTTGCAGAATTAGTAAGAGCAGGTCTGTGTGTGTAAACGATAGTTTAAGCTTTAAACTGTAATGTATATGAATGAAACTGTTGGAATTCATATAACTTGTTTTTAGGTTGTTGCGTGGAATAATTCTTATTCTATTTCACCTTCCTACTAGGAAATATTTCTAAACTTAAAAACTGCTTTGGAGAAATACCATGAAGGCATTGAAAAGACAGCCGAGGACTATAATGCTAAAACAGAAGAAAAAACAGCTGAACTGAAGAGGAAGATGTTCAGATTTTCAACATGATTAACAAAACTGCATCTCTTTTGTAAATGGCTTGCCATCTTTAATTTCATTTTCTGTTCAGAAAGGGAATAGTTAAATTTAAGCTAATGGTAATGGAAGTATCAGGATTGCCAAATAAAGTTGGCTCAATCTGTTTTTATATACTCTTATAGGTAGTTATACTGCATTTTGTGTAGATTTTTATTAACTTACAATTAAAATAATTTGCAATTAAAACTCAGGTCTCTACTCTGCCCTTTATTATAAGCAGTGATTGGAGTAAAACAAAAATAGATGTATTTGAAATATATAACTTTTCTGTTACTGTTTTGGCTTTTGTTGGCTTTGTTTGCTGACATACAGAGATGGAGCATTTACTGAGCCCTAACTATATGATAAGCACTGCGTTTGGGAGTTCATTTGATGTTCACTCAAGCAACTCTAAGTAGATATTTTTATTACTGCCTCGTAGATGAAGTAACCCTGAAACATTAAGTAAATACCTGAGATAAGACCTCATACGTGCTCTTTATGAGACCAAACTCTGTACTGTTTCTATTATACCACACTTTCTGATGTAATTACTTGAAAGAGAAAATTTGCTTGTAGTAGTCTACTTCTTCACTTTGGCATTGTTACGTGGGAAATTATTGGAAACATGTAAAATGCTTAGAATACCACCTGGCATGTGGTACAGACTCAGTATGTATTATCTGTTAATATTTAGTCACGGGAGTTACAAGTACTTTTCTCTGTCAGAGATAAAATCTTACTGTAGGTGGAGACAGGCTGTCATTGAGTGGAAGAGGAAGGAGTGGCAAAAACCAGGTGCCCGGAGAGAAACAAGTCAGGGTACAAAACTGAGCTATTGCCCTGTCCCTTCCTTGTTTCTTTCCAAATAGTCACACGTTTTAATCAGTAGAAGGGTCTGCTTTTGAGGCTAGGTAACAGGTATAAGCATGACCAAGTCTCTCATATTTTAAAAATTTTATCCCCTTGGACCTTATGTCCTGTATTGCTACTGCTCTTTTTCCGCAATCAAATTTCTAGAACACCTAGTGTATCCTTGTGAGTCTACTTCATTGCCTGCCCTTCATGGCGTTGTTACTTCTATCCATACTAATCCTCTGAACTTCTAAGGTCACCAGAAAAAGTCATAGCTAACAAAATTCCGTGGACACTTCTTGGTCTTTAGCATCCTTCAGTTCTACCTGTCAGACACTTTTTTTGTAGTTTTAGTAACACCACTCCCTTGGTTCTCTTCATTCTCTATCTGTTCCTTTGTTTTTTTTTTTTTTCCTTCCTATTGAAACATGATTGTTTTTAAAGTTTCATAGTCTGAATAGGTTTTTCCTGTTAATTCATGAAACAACACAAGCATATATTTATCAATTTCATACACGTGCATTCTAACCAACAGCATTCTGACCCTCTGAGTATTACCAGGGGAAAAAAATTCTAATATAGATTTCAATCGTAAGAATCCTTAGCAACTTTCAATATCACCATTTAGTGTCCAAACATTAAAAGCATTTAAGGAAATTTAATACATAGCAAAGTGACGTCTTCAGAATAATTTTGTCGTTCAAGTTCCTAGGTTTATTGTTACAGAAAAAGTGAAACTTGAGTTAATGTTCTGAGAAATCAAGGAAACAGAGCATCATTTTTGCTGTGCAGCACTACTTTAGATTCCTGGCACATCTCTGTCATGATGTTCTTTCAGTTGAAAAGCTTAAAACCAAACTATTTAAAAAATATAGCATTATTTGGTCAAAATACAAAATATATAATGGCATTTATATGTTAAAAATACAAATATTTAAATGTTTTATAAGCTAATCTTTCTAATGTGTTCAACATAAACAGTTTCTTCACAATCACCACATTTTAATAGATATTTGATTATTGGTATACTTTCTGTTTTATAAATAATTCACAGGTTTTCTGGTGTTTTTTTTTTTTGCAAGTATAGTTTACAGCAGTTATTTACAATCTAAGGTAACAAGATAATAAATACTTTCTGATTTAAACTTTACACTATTTCATGCTCCTGAAGCTTTTCTGCTTTGAGGTTTTTTTTTTTTTTTTTTTGCTTCAAGATAGAGGTAGATTTATGAGCGTGCCAGACTCACCACCAAAATGCAATTATTACTAGCCATACTGCTAATATGCAGTTTCTAAGAATGCTTGAAAAAATTTAGAACCATTATGTAATACTTTACCGAAGCTCTCCTTTTCAATCTTAAAATATTAAGTAATTATATAATGTAATTATTCACAAGTTAGAAAAATCCAAAACAGCAAAAGACATAAATACACAAATGTACGAAATAAAAAAAGTATAATGAAAGGTTGCATCTGAACGGAAACGTTTCATTTTGCTTTTTAGAAGTGCATCCACTCTTTTCTGTTCTGTTTAAAAGCACATCAAACATTCCTACTGACACTGGCAACAAAGAAGAGCTATATGAAGCTACTGTTTTTAACCATTACTTCCCATCCTCACCAGCCCCCGCCCCCACCCCCACCCCGCATTAAACTTGAAACTCTTCCCTTGGTGAATCCTGCTGCTGAAATACAAACTCAGATCAGAAGCCTTTTGGTAAATTTCCGGATTTTCATGGCTTTGCAGAGATTCCATTTTATCAAAATAATATGCTTTTCAATGAGAGTGCGGTATGAATTAATGCCTGTTACAGTCTGCTTAGATTCTTGTTCTCTAAGACAATTATTTTCAAGTTTTTTTTAAAGCCACTTAGATTATTTTTAAGTCACTAACAGTCACAGATATAACGTGGCGCAAATAGTTTGTGCTTGACTGCAGATTTAAAGGTGGGCAGTTCAAACCCATCCAGCAGTACTGCAGAAGAAAAGGTCTGGCAATCTGCTTCCATTAAGATTTCAGCCAAGAAAACCCTGTGGAGCAGTTCTACTCTGTAACACACAGCGTTGCCATGAGCTGGAATCCACTCCACTGCAACTGCCAACAACAAGGCTATGAACTAGCTTGTTTGTTCTGGAGCGCCTCCCGATTTGTGCTGAATTATAGCCAAAGATGCTACTTTTCAGAAAGTGCCAAACTCCACTTTCTGAAGAATCGATCAAAACAGGCAAAACATTTGCACCTACAACAGCCTGAACTTTTCAAGTTCAACAATCCAGCAGAAGCTTTTCTAATTGACCCCTTTGGGCTACTCAGTGAAGTGTTAGAGGGGAATGCCTAGCAATTCCAAATTATCTGTGTTTGAGTATCATTACCCGTCACAATATTACCAACCACTCTTAATGCAGGTGACACCACTTTACAATCATTTTGTATCAAAAATTCCACCTATCTTCAGTGACTGCTGGGATTTTATTGGGTTCTCTGTCTCGTCCTTTTTATTATTTTCTTCCTGAGAGCCTCATTCTCTGTTCCCCTCTTGAGTGTTTGTGTTTTTTAGGCTTCTGCCCTCCACCCTCATTTCAACCTTTATACTCCTCCTTAAAAACTGATTTACACCAATGGTTTTCATCACGAATAAAACATGTAGGCAAATTTTAAAATGTACATTTTATTTGGGTATATTTCTCTTGAAATTTAGACTTGCGTATCCCATGGCCAGTAGGGGTTTTTTAACTGTTTTTGGCATTCTGGTAAAGCTTAATGGATCCTTTTTGGAATAATGTTTTTCAAGTATGAAATAAAATACAGGATTACAAGGGAAGCCAATTAGACTCAAAATTTTGAAATATTTAAAAACACTATCACTAACTATTCTGCCCAAGTTGGAAAAGAAACTCATCCACTTTCTCTCTCTGCTACTCCACCTCACTCCCTTATATCCATTTAGTTAGCAAGAACTATGAATTAAGGTACCCAGTGCATCTCCTTTGCCTGTGTTGTAATCTGCATCCTTATCACTTCTCATCTGGTATACAGGCAGTCCCCGGATTACGAACGAGTTCCATTCCTAAGTCTGCCTTTAAGTCAAATTTTCACGCAAGTTGGAACAGTTAGGTACGGTTTGTACCTAATGTCAGCTAGTCAAATGTTTGTCTTAGTATATAGTACATAGTGTTTGTCTATGTATAAAAAACATTAAAGAAACACTTCCAGATAACACCAAGACATCTTTAACGTAATAATACAGTAATAATGTTTTGATGTGTGTCACAAAGTATCACCCATTCGTTATTACGAACCATTGTAGGTACCTCAAATTTTTAACATCATAGGCTTTACAGGGGTTGGTTCATAACCACGAGTTGTACGTAAATCGGACATTCATAGCCCCAGGGGTTGCTTGTACTTGAAATAATCTCCTTACTGCTCTCTCAGTCTCTAACCTCTATTATTAGAGTATTCGAACATGCGAATTAGATTGTCAGCGATTTGCTCAGAGTTTTTTAGTTTTTCAAACTGTGCTGCAAGGGTGCCACGGTGAACTTGGCAGAGGAACCATGGA